CTTATTTAATATAGAGTTAATAGCGCTAAGAATTTATCTTAATAAAGCTCTAGCGAAAAGTTAAATAAAATACTTTACGAGTTTAATAAAAGCTTTAATTCTATTTATTTTAAAAAAGAATAAAGATTTATATTTATATATTAACTATTATAGACTAAATAAGATAACTATTAAAAATCGATATTTATTATTCTTAATTAATAAGATACTTAATCGTCTAAATAGTTTTAAGCGATATATTAAATTTAATTTAAAGAATATTTATTATCGTATATAAATTCGTAAGAGCGATAAATAAAAAATAGCGTTTTATATATATTACGAGTACTTTAAGTATTTAATAATATTATTTAACTTAACTAATATCTTAGTAATCTTTTAAATTTATATTAATAAAACTTTAATTAAACTAATTAACTAGTTTTATATAATATATTTAAATAATATTCTTATATATTTTAAAATAAAGAAGAAGTATTTAAATTATATAAAGTAAGTATTTAATTAATTTAGATAATATAGTCTTTATATAAATCTAAAGAAATATAAGTTTTTTATTATAGAAGTAGAATTTCTCGACTTTATAATATTTATTATTAATATTATTATAGATAAATATAGAGTAACTATAATTTAAGAGTAATTAAAATTAAAAGATTATTATAATATATAAATCTTTTTAAAATTTATAAATTCTATCGAAGATTTATTTATTACTATTTTTAAATTATAAACTCTTTAATAGAATTTTTTAAAAGAAGCGAAAAAGATATTAAGTTAGAATTATTTCTATAGCTCGACGTTATAAAGTATACGTTTAAAAAGCTAAAAGACGCTTTTATAATCGCGTCTCTTCTTAAGTATTTTAACTCTTAGCTTTTAATTTAAATTAAAATTAATATCTTATTATTCGCTATAGCGAGTATATTAACTTAGCTATATACGAATAAATAGTAATATTTAATCGCTTTTTATTTAAGAAAGATAATCGATATAGAGTATACTTATAAAATATATAATTAAGAATTTTTTATAATTATTATAATATTTAAATATTAGCGCTACTATTTAAAAAGAAGTTTTTACTTTATTAAACTTCTTATTAATTATAATAATTTAAAGTATTTTATAAAGTAATTAATATTAAATAGTAGATAAGCTCGCTAGATAATAAAACTCTCTTTATATAATTTCTTAATTTTATATAGATTAGATAAGATAAATTCTATTAATATATCTTTAAAACGTTTTAATTATAAAAGCGAAAACGAATTAATTAATAAACTTCTCTCTATATTATAGTAGAAACTAGCTAGAATTAAAAGTCTTTTAAATTTTATTTTAATTATTATTAAGATAACTTATAAAGATAGTATAAGCTATATATATAAAAAATATAATTTTAATAATAAATATTTTATCGTATTAAATAGTTTAAGTATAAATAAGAATTCTTTAAATATTAATTCTCGAGAAGAAGTATTTATAAAAAGATAATATTTAAGAATTTAAGAATTATTATAATATAAGAAACTTACTTAAATATAATATATTTTTTAAAATTTAAAAAATCTTAATTTTTAATAAGAGAAAGTTTAAGTAAGATATTTACTTAATATATTTATAATATAATTAATAAGCGACTTAATTCTATTATTAGAACTATTAATTATAAATAATTTATTTTATATCTAATTATCGAAATATTAATTAGTATATATAAAAGAATAAGATAGAGTTAAGTTTAAAAATCTTAAATTTATATATATAGCTAATTATTAATTTAAGATTATTACGTTTTTTAGCTAGACTAACTAAGTTAGCTCGCTAGCTCTCTTAAGCTCTCTTATTAAAAATTTATATATAAAAGTTTTATACTCTAAAATAACTAGCTCTCTACGAATACTATTTCTTTATAATTTCGTAAATTATAGAACTCGATATACGCTTTCTAACGCTATAAAAATAATAAAGTTTAATCTACTATTAATAAATTAAATAAATATTTAAATATAATAGTTATAATAGTTATATTAGACGCGTTCGAGATTAAATAATAATTCTTTTATCTATTTATTATTCTTTTATTATTCTATTAATTCTATTAATTCTATTAATTCTATTAATTTCATTAATATAAATATAATCGTCTTCGATATCTCTTATCTAATTAGAGCCCCTTATTAACGTCTCTAAATTATCTCTTAACGAATTTATTACTATTAATAATTAAGATCGTAAGCGAGTTTAATAACTATCTACTACTACTTATAAACGCGTTAAAAGACTCTTAAAAATAGCTTAAATGAATATATTCTTCTTTATATACTTCTTATTAGACGGGCGAAGAGATTAGAATTATAGCGATAAATATATAAAACTTAGAGAAAAAAAAAAAAAAAAAATTTCTTTTAGATTTTCATTTTATTATTTTACGTCTTTTTATAATAATATTAAGATCTAAGATTATAAAAGCGGATATACTAAATTTAATAGTATTCTCGATTTTTAATTATCTAGTTTACTTTCTTCTTTATATATTACTTTATTTAAAATCTTTTAATAATCTATAATCGCGACGTTAAAATCTATAGACTATATATATTTTAATATATTTTATTTAATAATAACTTTTATATACTATAACGCGCGAAGCTAAATATTTTAATATTATATATTATTATAAATAATATACTTAATTAAATCTAGCTTTACTTTACTTAAAAATTAATATTATCTATTATTATAAATAATATATTTAATTAAATCTAGCTTTACGCTATTATTATTATATATAATTTATTTAATTAAATATTATTAATAAGTTATTATTATCTATAGATAATATTTATTTAAATAAAAAATAAATTCTCTTCTACTTTATTTCTAACTACTTTAATATAAAATTTTATCTTTAACTTATATTTACTACGCGTTTATTATATATTTAATCTAATCTTATCTCTTATAAGAGTATAGTTTTTTTTTTTTCTCTCTTTTCTTCGTTATAATAACTTATTCTAAAAAGATTCTAGAAGAAAAACTCGTTTTCGCTCGCGAGACTATAATTAGACTTCGAGCTAGATATTAAATTAAATATAAAATCTAATTTTTATAAGTAGATATAACTATTTTATCGTAATTTTTAAATCTCGTAAATTTTTTATTCTTTAGAGTTATAGCTAAGTAATAAAAGATAACTTAAATAAAAAATAATTAGCTTATTAATACTATAAAGAAATTTAATTTACTAAGAGAGTTAAGAGAAAATAACGATATTATTCTAATTAAAATAAGATTATAGCGATAATAATTCTTTCTCTTAACTATATTTAATCTTTTAATTAGATTTTAAAATAAGAGTAATATAATTACTTAATCTTTAACTAGATTATTATTTAAAAAAACTTTTTTAAATTTTAGTAAATCGCGTAGGTTAAGTAGATAGGCTCATATTATTCTATCTACTTAGAATCTTATTAAGATTATAAATATTCTAGCTATAAATATATATCTATAATTAAAATTAAGCGATAAAGTTTTCTATATTTATTATTATAATTAAATATTTATATATTTATAAAGAGACTTTTAAGTTCGCTCTCTTCTCTATAATCCTCTCTTTCTTCTTAATTTAAGAGTTTTTTATCTTCGCTTTCTTCTCTATAACTCTTCTTTTCTTTTTAATCTAAGAGTTTTTTATTTATACTTTTTTCGATATAATTTTCTCTTTTTTTTTAATTTAAGAGTTCTCTATTTATACTTTCTTTAATATAATCTTTTCTTTCTTCTTAATTTAAGAGTTTTCTATATATACTTCTTTTAATATAATTCTTTCTTTCTTCGTAATTTAAGAGATTTTTAATATTAAGCGAAATTAAATTTAATCTAATTAATCTTAATACTTCTAATCTTTTAATAATTAATCTCTTTTTAAAATATTTAGATAAATATAATTATAGATTAAAAAATATATATAATCTTAGCTCTAGACTAGAGCGACGCGATCGCTTTTTAATTTTTATAAATAAATCTAGAAGATTAGAAATTATATTTAAAGATATTATTCTCTCTATTAATTTATATAATAATATTATAAAGATTTTTAGAGCTAGCTAAAAGACTTATTATATCTATAATATATTATTATTAAACTCTTTTTTAAAATCTAACTAACGTTAAATAGCGAATAATTTTAATATTATCTTTAAAGATACTCTTTTTCTTCGCGAAATAATTAATTATTAAAACTAGTATCTTTTTATAAAATTCTTCTTTAATAACGCTTTATATCTCTTATATTAGAATAAGATTATAGAGCGAGATAAAGTAATAAACGATTTTAAGACTATTAATTAGAAAGCTTTTTTTATAAATAATAAGAATTTAGCTATTATTAATTTTAATAAATTAAAAAAATACTTTTTATATTAGACTTAAAAGAAAGATCTTATATTTTAACGCTTTTAGAATATTAATAATATAATATTTAATATTTCGAGCTTAACTATTTATCGACGTAGATTTTACTTTATATTTTAATTACTATTTTTATAATAAATTATCTAAAATTAACGAGTAATTAGTATATATAAAAAAATAAGATAGGGCTAAGCTAGAAAACCTTGAATTTGTATGTGCAGCCAATCATAAATTCGGGTCCTATACGCTTTTTAGTTAGACCGGCTAAGTCAGCCCGGTAGCCCTTCCGCGCTTCCCTTATCAAAAATTTGTGTGTAGAAGTTTTACACTCTGAAATAACCAGCTCCCTACGGATACTATTTCTTCATAATTTCCTAAATTATAGAGCTCAGTTTACGCTTTCTAACGCTGTAAAAACTATGAAGTTTGGCCTACTATTGGTGAATTAAATAAATATTCAAATATAATAGTCATAGTAGTCACACCAGACGCGTCCGGGATCGGATAATAATCCTGCCACCTGTTTGTTATTCTTCCATTATTCTACCAATTCTACCAATTCTATCAATTCCACCAATATGAACACAATCGTCTTCGGTACCCCTCGCCCAATTAGAGCCCCTTACTGACGCCCCCAGGCCACCCCTCGGCGAATCCGCTACTGCTGGCAATCGAGGCCGCAAGTGAGCCTAACAGCTACCTACTACTGCTCATAAACGCGTTGGAAGGCCCTCAAAAAGAGCCCGAACGGATACGTCCTCCCCTACATACTCCTCCCAAGCCAGCGGTAGATAGGTTAAACTAACATTCAAATATTGTAGTCACACCAAACGCGTCCGGACGTCATATGCTCTCCACGATTCCACATCAAATCATCACTCAGCAAGCGAAGAACACCACTGCAACTTGGCCATTCCACATCAAATCATCACTCAGCAAGCGGAGAACACCACTGTAACTTGGCCTGTCATCCCCACTGCATTAAGGAGTAAGAGGAGGAACTACAACAGGCAAATGCGGAGAACACTGCGGAGAAACCAAGCGGCAACAAGGCCACCATCGTCAAGAACACGGCTCAGCTCTCCAAGATCCCACGTCATATGCTCTCCACGATTCCACACGATTCCACATCAAATCATCACTCAGCAAGCGGAGAACACCACTGTAACTTGGCCTGTCATCCCCACTGCATTGAGGAGTAAGAGGAGGAACTACAACAGGCAAATGCGGAGAACACTGCGGAGAAACCAAGCGGCAACAAGGCCACCATCGTCAAGAACACGGCTCAGCTCTCCAAGATCCCACGTCATATCAGTCATCCACTCAGTCAGCCACTGAGCTAGCCACTCAGTCTGATACTCTACAAGAGGAGGAGCAAGAGGAGGAACTACAACAGGCAAATGCGGAGAACACTGCGGAGAAACCAAGCGGCAACAAGGCCACCATCGTCAAGAACACGGCTCAGCTCTCCAAGATCCCACGTTATATGCTCTCCACGATTCCATATCAAATCATCACTCAGCAAGCGGAGAACACCACTGTAACTTGGCCTGTCATCCCCACTGCATTGAGGAGTAAGAGGAGGAACTACAACAGGCAAATGCGGAGAATACTGCGGAGAAACCAAGCGGCAACAAGGCCACCATCGTCAAGAACACGGCTCAGCTCTCCAAGATCCCACGTCATATGCTCTCCACGGTTCCACATCAAATCATCACTCAGCAAGCGGAGAACACCACTGCAACTTGGCCGTTCCACATCAAATCATCACTCAGCAAGCGGAGAACACCACTGCAACTTGGCCTGTTATCCCCACTACATTGAGGAGCAAGAGGAGGAACTACAACAGGCAAATGCGGAGAACACTGCGGAGAAACCAAGCGGCAACAAGGCCACCATCGTCAAGAACACGGCTCAGCTCTCCAAGATCCCACGTCAAATCATCACTCAGCAAGCGGAGAACACCACTGCAACTTGGCCTGTCATCCCCACTAATATGGTACATCACTGCAATGACGTTACAAGAGGAGGATCTACTGCGACGATCACAGTCAATTGGGCCTCTGCAGGAGGGACATCGGACGATGCATATTTGGACGAATTGAAACCGTCCGATGTCTACAGCTATCTCATTATTCGAAAGATTTCACTGCGGCAGGAGATATTGTGGGATTCACAGCACTAATTGACACGTTATCTCCATTTCTTTCCGGTATTTCGATACTTCTTGCCATGAGGACATGGCCTTTCTCTGTTTTTTGTAGGTAATTGTTACGGATCAATCCTCCACACTCGATATACCTTCCTAATTAGGCCTTAGCGCGCCTCTCTCCGCACATATATGTCTATACTACATAGATTAAATCAATTTTGTAGTGGTGGAAGTAGGTCAAAAACGTACAGCAAGCGATCAGAGTCCGATTTGACTTAGGGCTAGGGCTAAAATTCGATTTGACTTAGAAAAATCCAACTCCATTTGACTTAGAAAAATGAAAAATCCAACTCCATGAATTTAATTCATAGGCCTTTACTTGTTATTTATAATTTAAAACTATATAAGATAAAATAACTTCGCTTAGACTATAACGTTATCGATAGCGACTTAAAAATTACTATTTATATTTTCTTTTCTTACTTTTTAATAGCTAATTTCGATATTATATATCTAAATAATAACGAATAAAATAGATAAATTAATAATATTATTTAATCTACGCTTAGAGATATTTATAATTATTATATATAATAGTATTAGTCGAGAAGCTATATTAATATAAACTATAAGATATATATTAAAAAAGAGTAAAGTATTAATAACGCTAATTATTTAATTAATATTAATTATTTATTATCTATTAACTTATTAAAATAATTTTAAAAATATATATTTTATAAGAGTAATAAATATTCTAAGTTTATAAATTTAATATTAATCGTTATAATTTATAATCTTAAGAGCTTAATTTAATATAATAGTCTTATCTTAATAAAATATAACTTTCTTAAGCTTATAAAATTCTATTATAATATTTATAATAAGAGTTATTTAAGTTAAAATAATACGTAACTTAATATTAAAGTTAAAGATATTTTCGTTATTAACGATATTATATTATTATAAAAAATATACTATCTTAAATAATAAGTATAAAAATTCTATAATCTTCGATAGATCGTATATTATTTTATAGTCTTATAATATTCTTTTATATTAACGCGTAATATAGATTTAATCTTTATTAAATTAAGCTTAAGTAATCTATTATAAAATAAAGAAAATCTTATTTATAATAAGATTTATAATAATAATAAAGATCTATTCGCTATATTATTTAAAAATTATTTTATATTTAATAATAACGACTTTAAAGACTTAGAGTTCTCTTAATTCTATATTAATAAATACTTTAAAGTAAATTAATATAATTAAATTATAATTAATACTCGAGAATCTTATCTAAAATAACTTAATATAATTAAAGAATATAAAAAGAGTAAGTAAAGAGTCGCTATTATATTAAAAGATTTAATAAAAATAAAATTCTTATTTAATATATAGTCGAAATACTATATAAAATAGCTATTCTTTATATATTACGAATTTAATATCGACGATTACTCGATTACTATCGTATAGATTATCGCTTTTTTATCGAATATCTAGAGACTTAATAATTTAATATTATCTATAAATAATATTAATAGCTATTTATCTATAGATAATTAGATAAAAATCTTAATTATCGAAGACTCTTATCGCTTTTATTAGATACTTTTAATTAAAGAAGTTAATAAGTTTATATTAGTTTATCTAAATAGATAAATAGTATATTTAAAAGTATTAGCGATTAAAACTTATCTCGAGTTAAATAATTATTTCATTACTTTAAAAACTTAATAGCGTCTTTATAAAATTACGATTAGCGCTTATTATTATACTTTTATATTAATTATAAAAGAAGTTATATTATTATAATAATCTAAATTAATATTAAAAAAAATAAAAAATTATAAATATTAATAAGAGTAATTTTAACGCTAAGCGCTTCGTTATAATAATAATAAGATTTCTAATAATAGTTTTTTAGATAACTTAGAGTTTAATCGATATAATTTTATTAATTTTAATTTTAAATAAGTAATTAAGCGATATAGAACTATATAGTTTTAAGTAAATTAGTTTCTATAGAAGATATTACTTATCTTTTAATCGTATTTTCTAAATTAACTTTAATTAGCTAATAATATATTTTATAAATTCTTTTATTATATTCGAAATATTTTAGTCGTTTTAATCGAATAGAAGAATATTTAAGTTATATTTCGAGAAAGATATATAAATATTAACTTTTATTACGATTATAATATATTTAATTAAAAAAATAATAAGAAAAGATAAATAGCTATTAATATTACGTACTCGTTATTTAATTTAAATACTAAACTTATCTTATAATTCTATATTAAATATATTTTTAAAATCTTAATCGCGAGATTTATTAGAATCGATATAGATGTAATATTAATATAGATATATTAAATAAGATAATTAGATATCGAATAACTATATAGATAGAAGATATTAAATAATAGTAGATAACTCTATTAAGATACGCTAGACTCTAATAGATTATAGAATTAAATAATATATTAAGAAAGATATAGAATACGATCGTAATACTACCTCTCTCTTTTATAGAATTATACTCTTATAATTAATAAGTAAAAGAGTAATAAAACTAGTATATATATACGCTCGCTTAAAAATTAATAAAATAATAAAGAACTTTTAATATTTAGAATCTTTAATACTACGATCTTTCTCGACGATAGTATAGATAGTAAGAGCTTATATCTCGATCTTCGCGTTAATATCGTCGCTAGTTAAAGATATAACGAGTATAGAAGTTCTAATCTAAAAGAAATCGATATAGTAATAGACGAGTAATAAATATAAGTATTTTAATAGATAATAATAATTTTCGAGTTAATATTTTAGTATAAAGAATATTAATAAAATAGTGCGAGTTAATTAATCGAGAGATCTTAAATTAAATTAAGTCGTAAACGCTAAATTTTAATTTAGTATTAAATTAGTTTAATATAGACTTCTTTATAATAAGTTATCTAGTTAATATCGATTATATCTAGCGATAACGATAGTAAGATTCGCGTATAATCTAATATAGTCTCGAAATATATTAAGAGTTATATTAATAAGAGGAGACGATCTAATAAATCTAAAATGCGGCTATTATAAAGTAATATAGATCTAAGAAATCGAATCGCGAACGCGAAGAAAATAAAGTTATTATAAAATATCGAACGATTTTAATTCGTTTAAAAATACGATATTTATAGTATTATCGAGCTTAGTAAACTACTTACGAGTATTACTTATAAAAATTATTAATTATATCTTAATAATTTTCAAATTCGCTACTATTCGAGTTATATTATTTAAGATTCTTATTAAGACTCTTCTATTTCATCTAATACTTAAAGCGATTATTAATAAATTTAAAGGCGATAATCTTCTTTATTACTTATTTAATTCGATCTTCGATAGTAATATACTTCGATAAAGAATTAATTTATTTAGATAAGAGGTTTATCGATACGAGGCTTAAGAGATTAAGATAAAATATATTATAAATCTTTATACTCACTGAGAGCTCTAAGCGATAAGAGGTTTCTACGAGATCTATTACTTTAAATAAACTATATCTCTTATTATTTAGCTTTCATAACGATCGATTCGAAGTAATATTCTTATTACTAAGAAAGATTATATCGTCTACTTTAAAAGTAATCTTCTAGCGTCGCTTATTAATCTAGATTATTATAGCCTTTTAAATATAATTTATATTACTTTAAATATAGTCGAGAATTTACTATATATACTCGATAATATTCTTCGCTTAAGTAGCGTTAAGGCGCTTACGAGTAATATTATAGTCGATAATATCTAAGCTAAAACTTATTTAAGAGTAAAAGCTCTTATTTATAAAGAATAATAGAATATTCGTAGTTATAAATATAGTATTATTATCGATAAACTCGATAATAGATAACTATCTAGACTAATCGTCTTATATATAATTATAATACGTTTAAAGATAGCGTTCTATATTCTAATTAGCCCGTTTAATCTATTTATTAATTTCGAAATAA